CTTAACAAGTGGAATTTATACAGTGTCATGTCAAAGAGTACAAACTCAATTCGGTATAAATTGGTTGATTTTATCTCGTAATCCACGATTTAGAGGCACAAACAAAGAATGTAAAATAAAGTACTGTTAATTCAAAACAAATTTAAAAAGCGCATTTGAAAGAAAGGTTAACCTAATGAAGGTTACAGTTATTTCTCGTTCACTAGCGTATCTTTCGAAATAGAAAAATTAAAGCGTATCGATACTGAGAAAAATCATTTAGAAATGATAAGGGACACTTGGATTAATCGAGAAGCAGTTTGTTACACTTATTGTTTCTCAGGAAAACAAAATTCGAGGACAATGTATCGATTGAGTCGTCCGCAGTAACCTTTCAAAACGAGGTTAAAAACAATAGTCGAAAACGTTTTGCCAGATTCTATTTTTCAATGAGTTTAGTTCGCTCCGACAAATGTTCAGTGACGAAATATTAGAAAATGAGGAATAACAAATCGAAGGAACAAGGAAATGTAATGAGAAACAGGAGCGTTAATCTCACCTGTCTTTCTGACATTTTCGCTTGCGTCACATAACTGTCAGTTCTCCGGAGTTATCATGCGTTCTATTCTTTACAAAATCGTTCACATCTATCGCGATAGGTTATAAGAGGGAAATTTTAAACAGAATTACTTTACGAACAAAATTCGGGCGTCCATGACAGCCCGAAGCTGTCCGAAGCTATTCTGCTACAAAGATATTCATATAACGGGTGGTAAAATTCAGTTTAAATTAGACCATGACGGGAATTAGAACAACTATCTTAAGTCACGGGAATAATTAATGTTCTTCGTCTTTTTCTCTCACAATCGGAAGTTCAAGGTTTACGTTTTTCAAACGCACGTGCAAATGATTATGTTACGGATGCAGCGCTTAGGAAAGATTGTTTACAGATTATCACATAATTGTAATTTGTAAATATTATTTAAGATGTCAAAGAAACTATTTTTTTTTTTAAATATTTATTGTATTTACTAAGTACAATGATATGTGCACGAATACCATTTTATATTTATATATATATTTCCTGTAGTTCATTATATAATACGACCTATGAACTGTTGGAAATCTAATGTAAAATGATTAGCACAGAATTATTTTAAGAAATCCGTTGAAAAAAGTTACAAATTCAATGAAAAATTTACTAGAAAGCAATTAAAACCAATCAAATGCTTTTTGCACAATGAAAAATTATACAGAACATTATAAAATATGCATTTCTCGTTCAATCCCTTACGTATCAATTCTATCAGCTATATTTAAAAGTTTTAACACTCAAAGCTAGCAGGAAAGATTAGACTGCGAGAGAGATAGAATAATACAATTTTATTGGAAGAACAGAAAGAAGTAAAGAGAACATGTGAAATCTCTAGGTGCGTTGCTAGTAACTTAATACGATTAAGAGAGCTTTTAAAAGAAACAAAAAATACTTTTGCACTGCATCGGTTGAATCGTAACTAAGCATAATTTTGAATTTTCGTATGGTCGTCAAATCCGAATAAATACGATATCGATGTTTATGAAATGAAATGTCCAGAAAAAGTACTATATGTACTTTATTTATCTCTTAATGTTGGTAAGCCGTCTATCGATTCTCCCCACGTACACACCTCCTCTTCAGTCATCGATTGCACTTTTTGCACCTGCCATTTTTTTTCCAGAGTAATGAGAGCCTCATCTCAAACCAGTAACACGAGGGTGCAGTAAAACAGGCCTGACCTGCGGAACCACCCTCACCCTCTTCGTCTCGATGAATCTTTCATATTCAATATCATTCGAAAATTTCTAAAGTGTCTTCTGCAAGAAATAAAGAGAGAACGAAAGACAGAGAAAGATACACTTGAGAAGTCAAAGTGTGCACGAGGAAGGGACAACGGTGCAGTCAGTAAGAAAGAAAAAGAGGAAAAAAGACAGAAGTAGAAGAAGGTGAAAGTGAGAGAGAGACGGACAGAGGGTGGGTGGTGGGGGGCTCTCGGGTTAAGAGCGAGGGAGAGAGAGGTGGTCGAAGGGAGTCGAACGAGGAGAATGACGGATAGCCAGCAGCAGTTTTGCTTGCGTTGGAACAACTTTCAAGCTAATATCACCAGCCAATTCGAGGCCCTCAGGGATGACGAGGACTTCGTCGATGTCACCTTCGCCTGCGACGGTAGACGTCTCCAGGCGCACAAGGTTGTCCTCTCCGCGTGCAGCCCTTACTTCAAGGAGTTATTCAAGGTTAGAAACCTTCCCCGCCTTGCTTCTCTCAGTGCTCGTTGCTCGAGCTTCGTCTTTCCCCTCCCCACCCTCTTCCCTTCCCCTTACCTGATCCTTCTTACCTTCTTTGACAATCATGCTTCGCCTTAGACATAACCGAAATACATTTCTTGTTCGTTAATCCTCATGCATATTTTGTGACAGTATGTCGTAATGTTCCTATATATCACCATACACCATTTGCACGTTAACTCTTTTGCCTAGCTGCTATTTATTTGTCAATAATCACTGCTCTTTCTGATTCAAATGCAGCTGGCTTTATTTAATTTTATTTAATATTATTCAATCCCGATGCGTTATTTTTATACGTATTGAGAATTATAATATGAAAACTATAAAATAAAAGTCTTAATTGGAACATAGCTTTTCAATACAAGTGACTCGTATATATCTTAAGGTTTTAATATTTATAGTCAGTGTATTTGTGATAGTTATGAAATAGATTTAGCGTACAAGAGTATAAGATCAAATTAAAAAGTAATTATAAATATCCACTCATAGTTTTAAGTTTGCAAAATAAATAATATGAAGAATTATATTTCATATTTTCATTAACAGCTTGAGACATATTAAGTGCAATTATATAATTTTGT